AGCTTGTTCTAAGTAGGTGCTTTAGACCACTGAGCCATCTCACCAGCCCCAAGCCCCCATATTTAAAAAAAAGCAAAAGCAGCCAGGGTGAGCGGGCTGCTTCCCCCATTCACGCCCTTCCTGGCACCCTTAGGGCCTGGCTCAGGGCAGCTGCGGCACAAGTGCATTAGAATGCCTTAGGGTGACGCTGCCCTGGAGGCTGCAGAGTGCAGTGTGGATGACTCAGGAGGCAGATCTAGTGCTCCCTTGTGGCCCAGGAACCCACCTGCAGGACCCCGCATGAGGTCACAGTGGCGATGTGCTCGGTGGCTCAGCTGGCTGCATTGCAGTGAGGAGGCACCATGATCCAGGGCCTGTGTGCTATCCCCACAAGGAGCACTACACAGCCCTCAAAAAGGCATAAGATGCCCATCCACTCTGCTCAAGGGCACCACAAGGACACCAGGCATACTGCCCGTTTACTGCATTGAGTTCTAAAGCCCCAAATCGGGAATGCTCCAAAATCCAAGCCATGCCACAGGCCTATAATCCCAGTACTCAGAGGCTGAGGCAGGAGGATCACTGTGAGTTTGAGGCCAGCCTGGGCTACATAGTGAGACCTTGTCTCAAACAAAAAACCCCAAAGGTTTTGCACACCAACAACACACAGGCAGGAGGTTCCACACACCCCACCGCAGGCGGCCTGGAAGCCCAAGAGCAGCACGCTGCAGGCAGTGAGTGTGTGCACGATGTGCTTTGTGTTTGGACCTGAAGCCCCCCCAAGATATTGCAAAATCCTCCAAACTTCAAAAATTAAAACACTCCCGGTCTTGGGGCTGGGGAGATGGCTCAGTGGAATAAGCGCTTCCCTGGCAAGCGTAAGGGCCTGAGTTCAATCACCGGTTCCGCAAAAAAAAAAAAAGACTGGAAGTGAGGCATGGAGGCACATGCCTGTAATCACAGCACTCAGGAGGCTGAGGCAGGAAGATCGTTGTGAGTTCAAGCCTAACCTGAACTGTACAATGAGGCCCTATCTCAAAAAGACAAAAAAGGGGCTGGAGAGATAGGTTAGTGGTCTAAGCGCCTGCCTGGCA